CTCACCTCATAAGACTTCAACCTAATATTTTGTCATCTCTGAGGATTCCAATCAGAGTTGGAGTTGCTGAGGAACCTTTAGAACTCCAATCCTTTCCCTGCACTTGTACTTTTCCTATGTTTAATCCTATCCATGAGATTTAAAAGTAGCTCACAGACATCTGAGTTTTACTCATGAAACCCGATTTCTCCGTAGCACCCTCTCACCCTCCTTTTATATCTCATCAGTCTCAACCAGCTTGTAATGAGCAAATTTGGTCAAATTAGTTAACCCTTCTTTTCCTGGCTTATAAAATGTGGATAGCAATGAGATCTGAGGGAAGATAAAATGGGCTGACAGACAAATATAAAGTGCTTAGCTTGAACCCAAGACACAAAACACACTATACTGAACAGTTCTTGTTAATATCAGTGGTCCTTTTTATGAAGAAAAAGCTATGAGGTGGTATGATTCCCTCTTTGCTTCATTAGTAACACAAGCTCCACCCTCCTGGATCACACATTACCAGCAGTATGATACATAATCCAATATCCATATTCTTGGCCCTTAAACACTTGCATTAGTTTGCTCTGAACTAATGGTTGCTATTTTCCTAGTAGTTTTTTTCCAATATTAATTGATTTCCTTGTCCTCTACAACACGGGATCTGGAAACAATGTATGTGTTCTGATCATTTCCATACTGATTTTCTTTTGCCTTTCAAAAGAAACCTACAGATTATCTGAAACAATGAACATAAGGTAATTTCTTACACCAACATTTTTATAAAATAATTCAATGTCCTCTATTTTGAACAACTCTCCTTCCTACTTGCTTCCTTCATTAACCTTGAGGAAATTGACAGGCACATACAAAATCTACCCAGTAGTGTTCCTTCTCAGTGCCTTACCATTTTACCTTCAATAATAAATACTGATTCATTTCATCTCAACCATTGACTTCCATGGTCATACTATAAACTTATCACTACTAATAAAGACAATAAAGTTAAACCTTTCAAAACTTATTTAAGCACTATATTCTATAAATATTTGCTTTGCTTTCCATTTTACATAATGTATTCTACTCTACCACTCATGACCCAGTCTAATCCACTGAAGCTCTACCTTCGTTCATGCCTGCTTTTTCTTCCTTAAGTGTCATGGATTCAATGGTGAAGAAATAAAATCACTCCCCTGATGCCTTCAAATCCCTGTCCTATCCCTGAGGCACAACTCAATACATGATTAACTAGCCTCACATTTGCCAATTTTGATCTCATGTGAGAAGTTTAATATATATGGGAAAGGCATACAACCTTACTGAGATTGCATTTAAAATTTTTGACCACAATTCTTCTATCTTTCTTTTCTTACTTGGGAAAAGGGTCCACTGCACTAAGCTATATACCTAAACTTGCTTACTTTATTTATTATTGTTTTTATTTTGAGGCAAGTTCTTGCAGTCTCTAAGTCCGGACTCAAATTTTGATCCTCCTGCCTCAGTCTCTCCATTGGTCTAATAATACATTTGTAAGTGTGCCTTTACTAATTTGAAAAATTCCTTACACATTTGCCCAGTACTTTTTCTTTCTTATTTTCACTGGTGTTTCTTGTTTCCACATGAGATTTTGGTGACACACTCCCACGCAAACCATAACACTCTTTATTATGAAGATAGCAGTTCTTTCAAACTTGATGTGTTGATTTGCTGCCATCCTACTAAAGCTCCCTGAAAGGGTTTTTGTTGATATAGGCAAATTGATTTTAAAGCTTTCTTTTAAGACAAAAGACAAACTAGACTGAGAATAGAGAACTTTTACAGCAATGAAAATGTCATGTGAAATTACAACAGCAGATATATTGGTTCCAACACAGAGCATATACAAAAGTGAACCTAGGGCAAACCATACCTTTGGATAATGTGGGTAATTTATATTCATTAAGTGTAATCCATACACCATGCAGGTGAGACTGTTAGTTAGGAGGGAAGCTGTGTGTATTTGGGAGGCAAGAACATGTGCAAAATCTCTGACTTAGTTTTGCTGTGAACCTAAAACTGCTACAAAAAGTGGTTTATTAAGAAACATATTATCAGGGCCATTGAGATAACTCAGCACACTAAGCACATGCTTTGGCAAGTGCAGGATCCAGGGTTTGATCCCCGGTCCCCACATGGGATTACAGGCGCACACCACCATGCCCGTTCTCAGTTGCTGTCTCAGTGTATCATGTCTTCTTTAAGCCAGACTTATTTTACTTAACAATGTGCTTTCAAAGAACTAAAGAGTGCAGAGTGAAATGCTGCACACCACTTGTAGATCTTTTATAACATAAACAGAAACCTCATTCTTAAACAAGCCCCCATTTTTGTCTTTATTTAAATCACACAAGCAAATACAGAGGACAGAACTGATGGATACAGCTGGAGTTATTTAACAAAACTGGGTAGCAAAGAAATCTGTCTTATTAGCCCAGAGCAGCCAGACTATGACACTACATTGTTCAGCCTCAATGGTACTTCTCAGCCATTATTTTAGCTGTTATGGCTTCTCTAGGCCCTCTTGTGGTTCACCTCTACTTACATTTTAAGTGTCTACACAAATGATCTCTTTCCAAAGAGACCCTCTTAAAAATACCCAATTTAAATAACCTTCATTCCTAAGTCAGTATTTATTCATTTATTTAAATTCATATTTAAATAGAAAAGACAAAATCTTTGAGAACTAAGATCTATCAGCTGATCTGTTATTTACAGCTAGGCCACGGCATTCCTCTTCCAGCAGAACAATTTCGTAGAGCTCAGGTTCCAGACAGGGTCATCCAGCCACCTCAGCACAAGCATTTACAATGCCCCTCTGCAGTCATGCCCGAGCAAAAGCAGAAGCAAGAACAGCGCCGATCACAAAACATGGTCAAACATCTTTCCTGGCTAAGGAGTGACTGTTGTTCCTTTACCAATTACAGATCCAACTCTGCTGCATGGTTTCTGGCAGCTAGATAAAGACTGCCGAGATATTCAATTGCTAAAGGTTGAGTGTTGACTGCCCCCCAGTAGCCTGTGGGTTAACGGGTTGGGTCTCAGGGTTTTGTTATCAGGAAACGGCTGAATCTTTAGGAGGCGATGCCTCGTTGGAGGCCTTAGGTCATTGGACTCCTCATTTCCTGGACTCAGTCATCACTATTACAAGGAGATTGTGTGGCTTTGGGTCCTTCCTCATTTTCTTTTCTTCTTGACCATAATGTGACCAGTTGGTTCTGCCACATGTTTCCTGCCCTGCCATTTGTCCCCTACACCCAGAACTAAAGGAAAAAAGCTCTGGGATCTACCCAACCTCCAGAACTGTGATTTGAAATAAGATGATTATCTCAGGTATTTTGTTATAGTAATATGAAACTGATCATAATGTCTCCCCTGCTTTCTAAAAATACTCAGGCCAGGGCATGCATGCGTTTACCTAGATGTAGCATTAAAAAGACAAGATATG